TGAAATGGAAATGTGGCCTACACTTCGAATAGTGGGAGAGGGTAAGATGAATAGTGCCCTGCATCTTTCGAGTAACTGCCCAACTTTGGCTACAGCAAGTCATTATCTTCTAGGGCATCGCAGATGTGGTCTCGATATTTCACATCGACTCGTAATAGAAGAAGCTTTCAACAGCATACCGACTGCAACAACACTAAGAAACCGGGTAATGTTGGAGGCAGTGTTTTTCTCCTTCCAGACAAGTCTGAAACCATTAGCGAAGCCGGAACGATATAAAGGCTCGTTAGATTGGACGAGATTCAATCTTGTAATCCACACGAGTGTAATGCGCTGCCTCTAAGTAATAGGTTTTCCCGAAGTTTTCTCCCAGCCTTTTCGTTCTGACATGTAGAAATTAATTTAGCGGCAGAGCCTTGCAGCTCCTTGGTAACCTATTTTATGCTCGCTGCTTCTCCTTTGCATTTCCTTCAACATTTTCATATGTAATTAGTCTATAGCCCTTTCAAGATGGATGTGACCGGAGACCAATTTACAGAAAAACCACAGAGAATTCCCCGACAACCCATTACTTCTTACTTTGCAATGTACTGCATGTCCAGTCTGCGGAATTCCCTTTCTGCTAGGGCCTTCGAGTGATTTCGATAGACAAAGCTTGCCGCGTTGCAATCTTTCTACCTTTCAAATCCGTCAAGTTCTTCTGAAGTTTTCAAATTTTTTTCTCAAAATGAGCGCACACCCACCCACGATCCTTGTTCTGCTTCCACTCAGAAACACAGTGCTGTTTAAATACAATTTCGCCCATATAAACATTTCCATTTGTATATTCCCTTCTGGGACAACTGTAATGAAGACAATTGTAATGATTTTTTGGTCTAGCCTAGTATAGGGTAGCAGCTTTCCCAAATGGGAACCGAAAAACGCCACGTTCAATGAAGCATGTAGCCATGCCCTCCCCACCTCCGATATATGGCGTGAACTAAACGCGTGCGTGGTGATTGGGATCCGATCTATCGGGAGACTTCCACAGTTCCGTTCATCTACAACTTCACATTGAGGCGGAGATGGTGTGGTGACAAGTGGCGCGCTTACCACTCGCGCGGTCCTGGGTTCGAATCCCAGGCCAACCAAGCCTTCTACCCTCCGGGGACGGTAAATTGGTACCAGATTCGTCTGGGAGGATAAGAACACTGACTTGTACATCGGCTGGCCCCCGCAAGTCACTTGTATAGGAACACGAAAAGAAATTATACGATCCATTTTTATTTAAATTAAGAATCATGTGCCTTTCTGAATACAAATTGGCTCGCATAAACATTTGCAGGGTAGGTAGATGTGGAAGTCAGTGTCCGTTTTTTTTGTTTTTATGCTCATATGTTCTCCCCATTTCCATGAAATGGGAGGGCGTGGCTGCGTCCTTTATCACACGGGCCAGTGGCTGCGCTTTTAGTGGAACATTGCCGTTTGGGACAATTGTAATCATGTTCTGGTCCAACGCAGGATGGCAGTTGCTCAGATGGAAGTAGAAAAGGGACCATGAAAACGCATTCTACGCCATGTTCAAATGAAGTACGCATCCACGCCCTCCCCATCTCCGATATGTAGAGTGTACTAACTACGTGCGCGGTGATTGTGACCCGACCTATCGTAGGACTTGCACGACTCCCGGCATTCCTTTATCCTTTCTTTTTCTTCTTTTTATCTTCATGATTCGCCCATACTCCTTCGCCCCTAGGCTCAATAAAGAACCGTTTGACGTGAGCAACCACCGACAAGCCATCAAACCAAAAACCAGAAAAACCAAGCGAAAACCACCACCAATCAGAAGCCATGCCCTCCCTCGGGAAATGTAGAGTACTTCAGATTTTGAGCGATCTCGAAAGTACAAGACTAATGTAGTTAGCCCGGACCGGGTTGGGTCCAGAGTTTGATCACGGGACCGTATACGTGGTGAGCAACACCACTTCCTTCTACAGTTTCCACTACCTCTGTTCAATAAGTCTCATGACATAAATAAATGGAAATCTTGGCTGCAAAAAGCGGCACCTAGGAGCGCTGTCTTCAGAGAGGCTAGTTGTGAGCATGCTAAGTTGGCGGGTCCGGACTGAATTGTTAGGGATAGGGAATACCTAACATCCGAAAATTCAGTTTCCGATTCCATGCTTGGTTTCTATATAGGAGTGACGTTTTCCCTAGCGTCATCCGCCACTGAGGTTATTTCACTGAGCTAATGTTATTTACCCCAAGGCAGATGATCCCTACAGGTGGCAGAGCTGACTCTTTCGTCAATCTTTTGTTATTTTTCCAGCAAAGTTCTGACTGGAGAACTTTACCTATTCTGATGAATGTCTGTTTTTCTCAGTTTAGGTAAGATCGTAGATCGTCGCTAGTATAAGTAGAGTGTTGTGGAAGCGCATCTGAGCGTGCATAATAAATTAAATTAAATCCAATACGGGTAAATTGCTGTCAGAGCAGAACTCTTTCGTAGATGGGAAGAGCTTAGAAGACTGTTGCGGCACGCGCCATGCATTCGACGTTCACTCTGAGGAAACTTGAACGCTCTGTGAACAGGGTGCAGCATCGCTGGGTGGAACTCGTGGGGGTCTTACTTTCCGCTGGGGAGGGGGCGCATTTGGTCGTTGTTGGGAGAGGGAGTCGTATGTGGCTTTGAGAGAAATTTGCCGCGTTGGAAAAAGTTTTTCCGGTTGTTGACTTTTCGTGATTTTTCCAATTTCATATGTATTTTAGGTGAAAAACTTGAAGATGTGGGAAATTGGTAGGTAGGCGTTAGTTAGGCTTTTAGGGAAGGGGGGAGGGGGATCGTATCAAGACTCTCGTTCGAGGGAGGCGGGAGGGGGGTCGTACTGACACCACCATTTCACGAATAGAAATCTCTCTAGTTTGCAGAATTCTACGAAGGAGTTGCGAATCTATTTTCTAGAAAGTTATAACAGCCACTCTTTTCTTTGCTGTTTCGTCATATGTTTTACTCCACGTGTCCTATTTTTTCAAGGACATTTACGATCTTCACAATTTTCAGGGAGCCGGAATGCGGTTTCTTTTATTATTGCTCTTTGCGGTGATCAGCACTGTTTACTCTAAGCTCACTTGCACGCGATGTCCGTTCCACATTACTCCGAAAGGCCGCACCAACTGCACGGAAACTTGTGAAGGAGACGTCTGTATGATCGGTAAGGATTGACTTTACTGAGCGTTATGGAATGATGGAGTCGTCCTGCGCTCATTAAAGCCGCGGTCTCTTATGGAATCGTGTATCCGAACTTTTGTGCCCTATCTTTCAGCGGTTCGGCGACGGGAGGGGAGGTACTTTGCTTCCCTTCGATGGCCCATCTAGATAGCATTTTCTTAACACGTTGACGACGGTGTCGGACAATGGTGGGCGACAGCCAGTCTGTCTCATGGGACGGTGTCGGACAATGCTGTCCGACAGCATACTGCTCTAATAATAAAGACGTGCGAGCAACCAAGTTTGTTCAAAAGATGTCTGGAAGTAGGCGCTGAAAACTTATTTCGTGGGGTAGCTTGAACGCCTGAACACGAATATCACATTCGTTTCCCGCGAAAATGCCCGGCGCCAAAATACTTCAGGTCACCAAAATCGTTGAAAACTTGTCTCGTGGGTTAGCTTGACCCCTGAACACAAATATCACAATCGCTTGCCACAAAACTGCCTGGCGCCCGCGCCAAAATGTCCTATAGATCATCAAATTCCCTGAAAACTTGTCCCTACCGTGAACCGACCCCCTCAACAAAAATATCATGTCCACTTAACGCGTTGACGACGATTTCCGTCAATGGTGGACGACAGAAAGTTTGTCTTGTGGAACGGCGTCGCCCAATGCTGTCCCACAGTTATTATATAACTCAAGATCTGATTGTTTCACTTTTTTCATAAAATTAGTTATTTTCGGGTCGAGGGATGCGATATTGTTCTTTAGGAGATCAAACTACCCCGGGAGGCAAATTTTCAGTCCAATTCTGTCTTTAGAGGAAGAACTTGGTAAAAATGGCCTGATTTTGGAAGATTGAAGCAATAAAAGGTAAATTGTGTCAGAGGTCCGAGATTGCTATACTCGTTTCTTGCATTTCTCGATAGATTTTGGTCGTAGTAATTCATTTGGATTTCACTAAGTTTCAATGTAGAAAAATGTGCCGTCCCAGGCGCAAGTCATGGGAAAAATGGCTCGTCGTCAACGTCTGGAATTGAATACGATCACCATGAAGGCGAGCTAGAGCTTGCTCCAGCTTCACAAGAGTTCACAAGTTTCACCAGAGTGAGACTTGTAAACCGGAAGTAGTGAAGCAGTGAAGTGCAAAATGCCCCCCCCCCCCCCCCCGTCGCTGTCGCCCTGAAATTCTTGTGTTCACAGGGCACTTCGTTGTTGGGGAATTCCCAATAGGGGGGGGGGGTCGTATTTGATCATTTTTGGGAGGGGGTCGTATTTACGTTTTGGCGTTGTGGGAGTGGCGGTTGACTTTTGGTGATTTTCCTGTTTCACGTACTATATGCCCCCCCCGCTCGACGCTCGACTCGATTCGATGAGGAAGGACAGAGGGCTGGGGAGGGGTCGTACCAACTCCCAAAAAAAGGGGGGTCGTATAGAGTCGACTAAAATCCCCAACCAATGATGTCCTGTGTCTTCAGCGGAAAAAAACATCTTTGAAAGTTTCTGCAAGTGCAATTTCGTAAAAAGATTCATATCTTCAGTTGTAAATAAATACTTCAATGGAACAATAATTGCCGGCTGCATTAACCTCCACGGCGACGATAAGTTCCACGAAGGACCAGCAGCATGTTACAGGTCAGCTTTGCAGGAATCAAAATCTGATATCTGACTGCTTGATGCTGTTAGAAAAAGATGAAAAAGATGAATGGACCTTTAGTAAAAAATGCCCTTAATATCTCGCAGTATGCAACATACGGTAGTATAGTAGTATTCCAGCAATGTATAATATTTAACATTCAACATCAAGGGGTAAGGCCATGTAGGCTACCGCCTAGCCTGGGAATCATTCGCCTAAGGCTACCGCCTAACCTGGGAATCATTTGCCTGATGCTTAGATTCCTTGTTCCTAACGCTTTGAAAATCGTCACAATTGGGAAGGTTTAGAGGTCTGAGGCAGAATAAAGAACAAAACAATATTTGAAGGGAAAGAAGGTGCAAAGCTGGGGAGGATTAGGCTCACTATGGAGAAAATGGTGAAAATACATACATATCGTCAGGAGGGGAGCGGTTTCAAGAAAGATGGAATGAGCCCATCCACAGCGTTTTCATCAGTGGTTATTTTCTCACTGAATCGATCACTAAACCACTACCGGTAGTGGAAGGCTGGCAGAGGCGGGCTCATTGCGCTTCTCCTAGCACCGCCCCGACTGATTGTGCCGATGTCAACTATGTGTAGCTGGACATTGACTTGTGTGATCTGCCTTACCGATTCCAGTGAACAGACTGAACTAAACTAAACTAAACAAAAAAAGAGTGCGGGTGACAATTTCCATGATAACAGCTTTCATTCTGTTGACTCGCTCTTTCAAAACAATAAAAAATGAAGGTATTAGACTGAACTGGGAGAAATCAGGTTAAGTATGAATCGCTGAAGATACGCCTCATATAGTCGCCATTATTCGGGGCGGTGTCAAGAGGGATGGAATGAGCCCACCCGCAGACAGAACTAAACTAAACAAAAAAAGTGCGGGTGTCCGTGATAGTTAGATATAACTGCGTAACTGCGGGTAGCAATTCCCAAGATAGCCGTTTTTACTTTTTAGACTCACTCTTTTAAAATTTGCATTTTAGAGAAGAGCATAGAACATTGTGCGCTTGCACGACTAAGGATCGGTGCAACGACCCGACATCGCCCATCGCCAACTTCAAATTCGTTGACGCCCCGATTCTGAGCGGATATCAATTCACGCCTTTGGTCGGTGGACCATCAGGAGGTAAAGTGAACTCTTCTGGACTGCAGCGAAGTATGAAATTCTCCGCGTAGGAACTTTAATAATCCCTTTTCATGAGATTCATTATCTGTACATAACTTCGACTTGAAACACGTGAGATTGTAGTGGATTTTGGGGTGAGATACGATCATTGAGATGGCAGCTCACTTAACACTGAAGGAAGGGCAAGATAGACCACTGACGGCGCCCTGAAAATACCTCTCCTGCAACTGATCTTGGGCGTTGTACGAGTATGACGAGTGTGAGCAACACTCACCGGATGTGTAAGGCGAGAGATCGGGAAAGCACAGCACGAGCTCCCAGCACGATGGGCACGGAACTATGAGAGGCGTACAGAACAGAATCTACATGCCTCATGAACTCATGCACAAATTTTGCAATCTGCGCTCCTTTCTTGCTTCGAAGGAACTCCCGTTGTTTCTTGTTTTATAGGGCGTCGCCTAGAGAACCTACATCGCATATGCAGAGGAAAGAAATGGAATGTTTGAAGTAGTAGTGGGCGCTTGCGCGGCCGTCGCAGCACTAGCGACCACGTACCTGAAAACTCTTCCACCCCTTTGCCCTCAGATGTGGGTTTGTCTATAGAGCAATGAACGTCTTCATTGAACGCGGAAAGTGTCCCCTCAACGCGTCCAGGTGTCTCGTCTGTGGCAAGGAGGATAAAAACTTCATGCCCTCAGGTGCAAATTCAGAAGAAAATCGAATAGAAGGGAACAATATTCGCCCAAATCGTCTGCCATTCAGCCATTTTCGGACAGAAACTTTGTTTCGAGGGTGATCAGTGGTGATCAATTTCGTTTACAAATTTCTGCAGATTTTTAAGGAGCAGGCCGCGAGTCGGCTTGGAAGTGCACTTAACGGTACTCAGTGAAGCTTCTACAGGCCATCTTGGGAAGACCTCTAACCAATCTTGTGTCCAATGCGGCTCACTTGTGCAACTTCGCAAGACTTCAGGTTTCACCATAACGAGATCAAATACTTAACAAGAACTAGACAAAGAAGCTAGCGGACTAGCATAGTGCCCCCCCCCTCCCCCAAAGACGATCGGTGCAGAATATGCTATCCTGAGGGGTAAACTGACTTTGCAGCTCGCAGTGGTATGTCCTGCAGTGCTTTCATGGAATGAAAATGCGTAGGTGGCTGCCACTTATCACTTGACTCACATGACCTTTCAGAATACACACAATACTACTGATGCGCTTCTAGAGCACTTTCAAAAGCCGATTGGCCCTAATTATATGGGCGGTGATCTTCGCAGGAGTGCGGTTTCTCTGATTAGCTATCCCTACGATTACTAAGTGGGGAGCACCAGTAAGAGAAGTGCGAATATCCGGGTGACTCCGCCCATATTGTCGATGTGGAAAGTGCCCTTAAACTGATATGTACCGAAAAGCGAAGAAACCATAGACAGACGCAATCCTAAGCCTCTGCTATATTTTTTTCTGGAAGCAACCTCGAGTTCTCTCTGTCTAATTCTTGTGAGTTGTGGGCCATAATCTCCGAAAATTCAGGTGGAGCAATCGACACTTCCAAACTGATTGGAGGAGACGCCGAGAAACCGAAGTGAGTTGCCATTCTTTGTCAGTTCTGTGGGCACGCTGTAAAAATAGATTATTCATTCAAAAGCTCTATCCAGAAGGCGTTATATTGGAACATGTTCTCCATCGTTATGATTTTGAGGTGTAAACTCATGAAAATTCCGATAGCAGGGAGCATGGCTTAACATCTAATTGGAACTCGACTGAAAAGGTCACGTCTAACAATGAAATCCGGTGTGCATTTCCCTCAACCGCTCTTTCCTATCTTTCTTTAGCAACTTCTTGAAATAACTTACCTGGGATCCCTGCATGCCTTTTTAACTAAGTTAAC